ATGGTATCAAAGCCTCGACTCTTTAAGAAGGAAAAACAATGGCGAAAACGGCGATGACCGGAGCAAGCAGAGGCGCCACCACATCATATGCAACATCTGAAAATTCTCAGTCCCAAGAATTGATCAATCCAGGGGAATTCGAGCACATATCAGGCTCACAGTTGACGGTGCACAAATTGGATGGCACGAACTATCTCGAGTGGGCGCAATCGATGAAGCTGGCAATTGATGGAAAACGAAGGATGGGCTACTTGACGGGGGCGGCGAAGAAACCTGCTGCTGATGATCCAAAATTGGCTGACTGGGGTTCAAACAATTCCCAGGTTATTTCATGGTTGCTGAACTCAATGGAACCTGCCATAGCGAAACCATATTTATTTCTTCCAACCGCAAAAGATGTCTGGGAAGTAGTGAAAGAATGCTACTCAGACTTGGAGAATTCATCACAGATATTTGAATTGAAATCTCAATTGTGGCAGTCTAAGCAAGGAAACCGAAAAGTGACTATCTACTATAATGAGATGTTGACTTCATGGCAGGAGTTAGATCAGTACAATGATGAAGAATGGGAGAGCCCAAACGATTGTGCAAGATTTAAGAAAAAAGAAGAAAACGATCGTGTGTATGTGTTCTTGGCTGGACTCAATAGAAGCCTGGATGAAGAGGCAGAATTCTCGGAAAAAAACCTCTTCCTTCACTGTGAGAAGCTTTTTCAGAGGTGCGACGTGAGGAGGCCAAACAACATACTATGTTGAAGGATGTGGTCCCTGAAACAACAACAGAAGCAGATAAATCTGCTTTGGTGACCCGGGGATATGATGAAGGAGACAAGAAGAAAAAGCCATGGTGTGACCACTACAAGAAACTATGGCACACCAGGGAGACTTGCTGGAAGATACATGGAAAGCCTCCAAATTTGAAGAAAAAACAGACTGGAGACAGTCGTGCACTTCAAACTGCGAATGAAGATTCTCAAGTGCAGCAAATCAATTCGGAAACAGCACCATTCACAAAAGAACAACTGGAGCACCTGTATAAGTTTTTTCAATCTCAAAAAATGTCTATTTCTCCTTCTTGTTCCATAGCCCAGCAAGGTAATCACTTAGTTCTAACCTGTGTAACCTCAGTTCCTTGGATTATTGACTCCGAAGCCACTGACCATATGACCAGCAATTCAAAGCTTTTTTCTCCGTATAATCCGTCTGCAGGAAACAAGAAAATCCGCGTTGCAGATGGCTCCCTTTCTGCAATAGCCAGAACAAGATCCATTTCTTTAACTCCTAACCTTATCATTCATAATGTCCTTCACGTCCCAAAGCTTTCTTGCAATCTCTTGTCCATTAGTAAATTCACTAAAGATCTCAATTGCACAGCTAACTTCTATCCTTCTCATTGTAAATTGCAGGACCTCACTTCGAGGAAGACGATTGGCAGTGCTAGAGAAAGTGGTGGCCTTTATTTCTTTGAAGATGGATCCGGATCTAATAAAGCTGTACAAAGCACATGTTTTAAGTCTTTCTCAGTGTCTAGTGAGAATGAAATAATTATTTGGAATTTTAGGTTAGGACATCCAAATTTTCATTATCTCAAAGTCTTGTTTCCAAAGTTATTTGTTAATAAAGATCCTTCTTCACTTCAGTGTGAAATTTGTGAGTTAGCAAAACACCATCGAACTGTTTTTTTGCCTTTGTCATATAAGCCTTCACAACCTTTTGCACTAATTCACAGTGACGTATGGGGTCCCTCACGGATAACAACTAATGCAGGAAAAAAATGGTTTGTGACGTTCATAGATGATCACACTAGGACAATTTGGGTATACCTGCTAAAAGAAAAATCAGAAGTTGAGGGAGTGTTCAAAATGTTTCATAATATGGTGAAAACACAATTCCAAGCTTCCATTCAGGGATTTAGGAGTGATAATGGCAAAGAGTACTTTAATGAGATCCTAGGAAAATACTTTATCGATAAGGGAATTATTCATCAAAGCTCGTGTGGTGATACCCCCCAACAAAATAGAATAGCATAGCGGAAAAATAAGCACATTTTAGAGGTAGCACGAGCATTATTGTTCACCAATCATGTAACAAAATACCTATGGGGAGGAGCTGTTCTCACTGCAATATACCTCATCAATAGAGTGCCTTCGAGGATTTTGAACCGTAGGACCCCACTAGAAGTGCTCAAAACCTACTTTCCACTTCAAAGAATCTCTACCACCCTACCTCTAAAAATATTTGGCTACACGGCTTTCGTTCACATTCATGATAGGAATAGAGGGAAATTTGATCCTAGGGCAAGGAAGTGTGTGTTTTTAGGTTATGCTCCAACCCAAAAAGGGTATAAGTGCTTTGATCCGGTCACCAAGAAAATGTTTGTAAGTCTTGATGTCACTTTTTTTGAAAATACACCATATTTTGGAGCTCATCTTCAGGGGGAGATTAGACATGAAGATTCACAAAAGATAGACCAATATGAGGATCTCATTAGGCTTGAAACTGATGAACCTAGAACTTTGAGGCAAGAGGAAAAACCGGAGGAAAAACCAGAACAACAAAAGCATGTTGTCCTTCTTATTCCCACTGAAATTACCACAGATTCTGAGAGGAACCCCACTGCCCATAGTCGTGATATTCAAGAAGTGAGCAGAACCGAAGAAAGGCCAAAAACAGGTGCTGAAATACAGGTTTATTCGAGAAGGCATACAGAAAAGAGAAATAAAGCTGCTGCCACCAATCTGCACAGCCATGAGTTGGAACTAAGGAAGGTAATGAACTCAGAAAGTGATCCAGACAATTCTTCAATTGACAAGAGTGTGAGTGATCACATGTCACCTGATTCTGATTCTAGGAATAACCTGGATATGCCTATTGCAATTAGAAAAGGCATTAGAAGTTGCACCCAACATTCTTTATCTAACTTCATCTCCTATAAGCACTTGTCACCATCTTTCTTTGCCTTCACTTCTCATCTGTCTTCTGTGGAGATTCCAAAAAATATACATGATGCTTTACAGGTTCCAGAGTGGAGGGAAGCTGTTTTTGAAGAGATGAGGGCACTAGAGAAGAATCAAGCATGGGAAGAAGTTGCACTACCAAAGGGAAAAACTACTGTGGGTTGTAAATGGGTATTCACCACCAAGTACAACTCAGATGGCTCTCTCGAACGATACAAAGCAAGGTTGGTGGCGAAAGGATACACACAAACTTATGGCATAGACTACTTGGAGACGTTTGCACCTATGGCAAAGTTGAACACAATAAGAGTAGTATTATCCTTAGCTGCTAATCTTGACTGGCCTCTGCAGCAGCTAGATGTAAAACATGCCTTCTTGAACGGAGATCTAGAAGAGGAGGTCTATATGGAAGCGCCCCCAGGCTTTGAAGGGAAGTTTGAAACCAAAGTCTGCAAGTTGAAGAAATCACTATATGGCCTCAAGCAATCACCAAGGGCCTGGTTTGATAAATTTGCAGGCTCAATGAAGAAGCAGAATTATGTGCAAGGACAGAGTGACCATACAATGATTATAAAGCATTCAATGAAGGGTAAGATCACGGTTCTGGTTGTCTATGTAGATGACATAATTCTCACTAGTGATGATGAGGCTGAAATAAGGAGGTTGAAAGAAACCTTAGCAACTGAGTTTGAAATAAAAGATCTTGGAGCACTAAAATACTTCATTGGAATGGAGGTTGCTCGCTCAAAAAGGGGAATTGTTGTGTCACAAAGGAAGTATGTGCTAGACTTGTTAAGAGAAACAGGGATGAGTGGATGTAAACCGGCAGAGACGCCCATTGATCCTAATCAAAAGCTAGGCAGCATTGAAGATAGAATACCTGTGGACACGGCTCGATACCAGAAACTGGTAGGAAAGTTAATTTATTTGTCCCACACACGGCCAGACATAGCCTTCGCTGTAAGCCTTGTAAGTCAGTTTATGCACTCACCATGTGAAGAACATCTAGAGGCTGTTTTCAGGATCATTAGATATCTAAAAGGCTGTCCAGGGAAAGGATTATTCTTCACCAAAACTGGACAACGTACAGTGGAGGCATAGACTGATGCTGATTATGCAGGAGCCATCTCTGATCGAAGATCCACCTCAGGATACTGTACCTTTGTCTGGGAAAACCTTGTAACCTAGCGTAGCAAAAAACAAAATGTAGTTTCTCGTAGTAGTGCAAAATCTGAATACAGAGCAATGGCTCATGGTGCGTGTGAGCTACTATGGCTGAAGCGTCTTATGGAGGAATTGAAACAACCGATAGACATGCCAATGAAGTTGTATTGCAACAACAAAGCTGCCATTTCCATCGCCAATAACCCGGTTCAACATGATCGAACCAAGCACATCGAAGTTGACAGGCATTTTATCCGAGAGAAACTTGAAGAAGGAATCATCTGCATGCCATTTGTTCCAACAAACCAGCAACTTGCAGATATTCTTACTAAGGGCTTATTCAGACCAGTTTTTGAAGATCTTGTAAGCAAGTTGGGCATGATAAACATATATGCGCCAATTTGAGGGGGAGTGTCGAGATATTAAGAGGTTTTTTAGTTTTTCAGTTTTTGAATAACAACCTGATTTAGGTGGTTGAGTATCTCGGGTCTTGGTTAGTTAGGATTTTCCTATTGTTATGGAATCTAGGTTACATTTATTTGCTCTATAAATAACTTATGTATTCTGCTGATTATAATCATCATCAATAAGAATAGTTTTTCCTTCTATTCAAAACTACAGAACGGATAGTTTCTAAGAAACTATTTTGGTTTTCATAAAAGGAGAGAGGACTGGGAACCACGAATATTCCAACAAAATATCAGAATAATAATTCTAAGGGTCAGTGGACCAACCACCTGTAGTTTACCTGTTAACTACAAACTGAATTGCATAATATTATGACTTGCTCATTTCATTTCAAAAGTTATGACTTGTTCTATGAATTAGTTAAAAAAAAGTGTGATACATATATCAATATATATACTATTTTTGATCGTCCCTAAAATTTGAGAAATAAAAACAAACTAGAGAGTGCTGTAGATTTCCCAATTTGTTTTCCAACCTGGTTAAACAATCACAATGGAAGGCATCATCTCCAGCTCACGAGCTTATGTCAACATCATCTCCAGCTGATGGATCCCACCCTGGAGGCTTGATGTTCGGCCAGTCACTGCGACATCCCAACCTTATGTAAAGGCTCTTCTTGCCTTAAAAACAGCAAAATCACATGTAATTGAAAGAAAAAAAATGCCAAGTATAGCCAGTTGTGATCAACACCACTGGTTTTCTAACTAGGCGAATGATTGCATGCAGAACTGTGTGCACGTGTGTCACAATTTATCAGTCTCAGAGCTGACGTGTGATTGGTTTAATACTTAAGAACTAGTAATTTGATCGCCAATGTGATACATAGTAGCATTGCAAGTAAAAGGCTGGTTAGATCCTACTGCACCATAAAATTGTAGAGAAAGTTTAAAAATGTTTGTTTTAGCCTTTGTTGCGTTGTTTTGATGCAAAATTGGGATTTGACTAGTCATATATTCAAGGGATCACATCTTTTTTTTCTTTTTGATACAAGCTAGCCCCTCCCAGGATTCGAAAGGGATCATTGTATTTCTAATGTTTGTATGATATGTGTCGTTCAAGATAACTCATCCATAAATAAAATATACATGTGTGTGTGTGGACGCATAGTTACCACAAAATGGCGAATGAAGTTGAAAAGAAATGTTTTCAAAATTTCAGGTTATTGCGAGAAGCCATTCCATTACTGGTTTATAAAGTGCATGCTTCAGCTTTTGAGGTGATTTTTATTTTCATTTAGGCCTCGTTCGCTTCGCAGATTCGAGTTGAGATGTGACATTATTTGAGAAGTTTTAACTATAGCAGAAAAAGTTAAATGTGACATTTTCTGAGAGTTTTTAACTGTAGAAACCTAAAACTAGAAACTCCAATCGGTAAAATGAATGAGGCCTTAGTATCTTGGCTAGAGGCAAATGGTTTGAGTTCAAAACTTCTGTTAATAGTAAAATTCAAAGGCCTATACTTGCGTCATTTTTCCTACCTGGAAGTTTCTTGTCGGATAGAATTAATTGTTTGAGGGCGCTCAAGGATGCCTGAGCCAGGCTTTGGGCATGATCTGCATCCCAACCCAGAAACTTGATGACCACGTCTGACTTCGAGTAAGCTAACCTGCCATCTTGAACGTGTTTCCTTGCTTCCTCTTTCGCTGAATCTTCATCTGCAAGAAGTTGCTTACAGAAATTAAACTCATGAGCTACTAGTGACAAGGCTCGTATGGTAGTTTGTTATTTGGTTTGCCCATAAATATTGTAGTTAGTATGATCTAGCGAGTCATTAATAGGATTATGTTAGTAATTAGTCATCAATATAATAAGTGGTTGCGGTTCTTATCAGTCATCTTAACAATGTTTTCAAAATTGATTAATAAAAGGTAGTTCTTGTAAATAATGTCAATATCAAAACCACAGAGTTGCTTGATTCAAGCAAAAGGTAATTAGGTAACCGTGTATAAGCAATCTCATCCAGACCAGCTTCTGCATTGGTGCCTCCCAATGCAGCGGCCTCGTACTCTTTACAAATGCACCAGTGTGGATACCTAGGCTTTTGCACTTATAGACTCTTAAATGGTCTCTTAAGTTATGATATACTTTGGACTTCTAATTAAGTGGGAACAATTCCTTTGGAATGCATCATGTATGCTTGCAAATCGAAAGAAGAAAAGAAGACACTGAAAAGCCAAAACCTGTGACGCAAGACCACGAGAGAAGAGATAGATTAGAGATAGAAGAATAGAACCAAGATCGAGAAATTGAGCTACGAAGGAGAGAGAGAATTCAAGAGATAGAACAATCTCAGTATTCCTTCATCACCATCGCTCGGAATTGAAGTTACAACAATATGTTTATAGGCAAACAAAATAACAAATTACTTGGGAAATTAAATCAAAATGATTTAAGGAAACTTGACAATGCAAAACTAATCATATTTCCAAAATGACGAAAGTCCCTAATTAAATCAAATTTTAAATATTATACTCTAATTTCTGTCGACATGGATGCAAATAACAAGAAATTTGTATTATTCAGTTCATAAAAGCATCGACTCAGAAATCACCATGTGACCATGGAATCATGTAGAGGGTGTATGAGTGAACAACATATATTATTGATATGTATGATCAGAATACAATTGTACAAATAAATAGCTATACAAGGAACTATTTTAGGAAACTATCCTAGGAAATAAATAGCTGATTGACAACTATACACATGGCTATTCAAGGAAACTAAATCAAATCATAATCAATCCTAATAACTCTATTTTTGGACCAATCTCCTCTAATTCGGACGAATATCTTGCAACACTCCCCCTCAAGCTGGCTTGTAGATGTCTTCCATAGCTAGCTTGCTGACTAGTAGTTCGAACTGTCCTTTGTGTAGCCCTTTGGTGAGTATGTCTGCTATCTGTTCTGCAATTGGTACATAAGGAACACATATTAGCCCACTTTCAATTTTCTCCTTGATGAAATGCTTATCAACCTCGATATGCTTAGTTCTATCATGTAGAACTGGATTGTGAGCAATTGAGATGGCGGCTTTGTTATCACAGTAAATCTTCATAGGAAGAGACACCAGAATCTTCGAATAATCTCTTTATCCACATTGCCTCACAAATTCCATGTGCAAGAGACCTAACCTCTACCTCAGCACTGCTTCAAGCCACAACACTTTGTTTTTTGCTCCGCCACGTAACAAGATTGCCTCCAATAAAGGTGCAGTAGCCTGAAGTCGATTGCCTGTCATTAGTGCTACCAGCCCAATCTGCCTGCAGACTTCAATTTGTAGGTTGTCTCGTTTTCATAACATAAGACCCTTTCCAGGAGTTCCCTTCAGGTATCTTAGTATTCTATAGGCTGCATCAAAATGTTCTTGTCCACGTAAGTGCATGAACTGGCTTACCATGCTCATAGCGAAAGCTATATCAGGACGTGTATGTGACAAGTAGATCAATTTCTCCACTAGTCTCTAAAATTTCTCCCTATCAATCACATCTTCCGATTTAGCGGGATCAAGTTTCAAGTTGGCTTCAATGGGAGTTTTAGCAGCTTTGCAACCCAGAAGGCCTGTCTCTCTGGGAAGCTCAAGAATGTATTTACTTTGGTTCACAAAGATACCTTCTTTCGATCTTGCAAATTCCACACCAAGGAAATATTTTAACATACCCAAGTCCTTGATCTCAAAGTCGCGTGCCATTCTCTTGTTTAGGTCTGTTAACTCTTCAAAATCATCACCTGTTAAAATTATGTCATCCACATAGACAATTAGGATGGATATCTTACCTCTCTCCGAGCGTTTGTAACTCTTCACAGCCTCTCCAAAACATTCAAACCACGCTCTTAGAGATTGTTTAAGACTATACAGAGATTTTTTCAGTCTACAGACCTTGTCTTGGCCGAACACCTTCTCAAATCCTAGCGCGGGTTCACAAACACTTTTTCTTCTAAATCCCCATTGAGGAAAGCAATCTTGACATCTAACTGTTGTAGTGGCCAGCTATAGTTTGCTGCTACGGATAATAGTACCCGAATGGCATTTATTTTGACAACCGGGGCAAAGGTTTCTTAGTAATCAACCCCATATGTTTTGAGTAAACCCCTTAGCCACAAGTCTCGCTTTATATCTCTCTACACTTCCATCCACCTTGCACTTCACTGTAAACACCCATTTGCACCCAACTGTTTTTTGATCCATGGGTAGGTCGACAACTTCCCATGTCCCATTTTTCCTCAGAGCATTCATCTCTTCCATCACTGCTAATTTCCACTCAGGATCATTAAGTGCTTCCTAATTGTTTCTTGGCACAAGCAGATTAGAGATTTTAGATGTAAAGGCACTGTGTTTCTTTGAAAGTTTACCGTAGGACAAGTATTTGGACATAGGATGAGAGGTACAAGAGCGTTTTCCTTTTCTGATTGCTATGGGAATATCGTAATCATTACAATCAGTATAAGGCATAGAATTAGGCATAGGATCGATATTAGGTTCAGATATTTCATCAGGACTAGGAGCGAAATTATGTAAGGAACTATCTAGAGTACCTGTATTTCTTTCAAATTCATTACCCAAGGTGTCTGGCTAAGCCTGTGCTAAAGGGATAGTAGGCCTCTTACTCTTTTGATGGTTCTTCTTCCTCGAATAAGTGAGTAACTATGTATCTTGTTCCTTGGGAACCAAAGGTAGCATTTCTCCCCCCTGTCAAGGACTCAAAAGTGTTTGGCAAAATAGTCTTAAGATCACTAGTTTCCAAAACAGTATTGGAATAGCAATTTCCTTTTTATTTAAAGGCTCATTTTGAGATATGAAGTTAGTAATGCAATCCACGGTTTTAGGTAGGGGGTTGGAAATAATGTCCCAAAAATTTCCTTCTTCTCCTAAGTTCTCCCCCCAAAGAGAAATTTTTTGAAAAAAAATGTTGATTTTCCAGAAAAGTGACGTCCATAGAAACAACAGTTTTCCTAGTTTTTGGGTTAAAACACTTGTATCCTTTCTTGTTTGGTGCATAACCAATAAAAATACATTTTTCGGACCTTGGATCAAGTTTAGATCGGCCTTTACTAGGTATATGGACATAAACCGCGCATCCAAATATTTTCAGAGGAGATTAGATTGAATACATGATTCAGGAAAATAATTTTTGAAACATTCAAGGAGTGTAATGTAGTTAGAACACAAGTGGGCATCCTGTTAATTAGATAAGAGAAAGTTAAAACAGGTTCGCCCCAAAAATAGTTAGGAACATTCATAGAAAACATAGTAGCACGAGAAACTTCGAGTAAATGTTTATTTTTATGCTCAGCAATACCATTTTGCTAAGACGTATCAACATAAGTAGTTTGATGATGAATACCTTTTTCTACAAAAAATCTTCCAAGAACTTCCTTAAAATATTCAGTTTCATTATATGTATGAAGAATCCCAATTTTAGTTTGAAAAAAGGTTTTCAATCATCGAGTAAAAAATTTTAAATAAGTTCTCAACCTCAAATTTTTCCTTCATTAAATAAAACCAGCATAAACGAGTATGATCGTCGATAAAAGTCACAAACTATTTTTTTCGAAGAAGTATTGACCCTTGAAGGACCCCAAACATCACTATGGATTAAATAAAAATGCTTCGAGGCTTGATAAGGCCTTGAAGGATAAATAGTTCTATGACTTTTTGATAAAATGCAGTTTTCACAATGAAATTTAGAACAGTCCAAACCTTTAAATAAACTAGGAAATAGTTTTTTAAGATAAGGAAAACTAGGATGCCCTAGTCTATAGTGCCAAAGCATAATTTGGTCCTTAACTGGAGTAGAACTGATACTACTGAAGCCTTGAGCTCCTTTATTCTTAGAATCTTCATCTTCAAAATAGTAGAGGCCATCTATCAATTTAGCATTGCCAATCATCTTCCACGAGCTCAGTTCCTGAAAGACACAGTAGGATTCAAAAAAGGTGACACCACAGTTAGAATCTCTAGATAATTTACTAACTGATAGCATATTACAAGTTTAGGAACAAGGAGAACATTTTTGAGAGAAATGGTTTTAGATAGATTTATCAAACCTTTGCCGGCTGTAGGGGAATATAAACCATCTGCTATACGAATTTTTTCATGACCAGAACAAGGATTGTAAGTATAAAATAAATGAGAAAAGCTTGTCATATGATCAGAGGCTCCTGAATCTATAATCCAAGGAGTATAATAAATAGGGAAATGACAAGATAGGGCATTTGATTTACAACCTGCTTGAGCAACATAAGCATTAGGAGTACTTAACACTCCGGAGTTGGATTTCAGCAGCTTCAGAAGGTGATCTATCTACTCTTTGTTAAAGGGAACAGATTCAGCCTCATGTGCAACAGGAGTACGAGTGAATCGGCCTTCATGAGAGCCCTTCTAATTTGTTGGTTTTCCATGGATCTTCCAGCATGTCTCACGTGTATAGCGTGGTTTATTGCAATGATCACACCAAACGCGAGGTTTTTCATCAGATTCCTGGTAGTGATTTGGCCAACATTAATACCAACAGCAAGAGTCGAGTTTTCAACGGTGTTGCCGAGACTCTTTTTGCCAAGCATGACAAGACAGCGACTCGCCTCACGGCAAACCTCAAAAAACACTTCTCCAATAGAAGGAAGTGGCTGCATCATGTCTCTAACCTCATCAAACTCTACGTTAAGACCAACAAGAAATTTGAAAATACGGTTATACCCCACCGTTTTCTTATAATGGTTACGATCATCTGGGGATTTCCACTCATAATCATTAAATAGGTCTAAATCCTGCCAAAAGGCGTTTCAAAGAATTAAAATACTTAGTGACACTATCCTCACCTTGGCAGATTTCTCCGAGTTTCAAGATTAACTCATACACTTGAGATTGATTTCCCAAGTCCGAGTACATTTGATTGACGTTGTCCCAAAGCTCCTTTGCCGTGTGATAGCACATATAGTTGGAGCTTATGTCCTCCTCCATAGAGTTCACCAATCAAGTCATCACCATCGAGTTCTCAGCATCCCATATTGGATAAGTTGCATCATCAACCGCAGGCTCCTTCTTCTCTCCGGTCAAATATCCGATCTTGCCCCACCACGGATGTACATGCGCATAGATTGAGACAAGCACATAAAATTTTCTCCATTCAGTTTAATGGTAGTGATCTAAATGGAGTGAGATTCCGAGGTGGGGGCCTGGGTTGTAGTAGCAGCGGGTGTTGACTTGCTTGTAGGAGCATTCTTGGGTTGTTCAAGGGCGCTTGTAGACTCGGAAATAACGTCTGACATAGTGAAAAAACAGAACTGGTTTTGGGTAGAAGGAAAATAGGGGAACGGCTAGGTTTTCTGTAGGTAAGAGAGAGAGTGGTACAGGACTAGGGTTTCCAGGAATCAAAAGAATTCCTTGCTCTAATACATACGAGTGAATAACATATATTATTGATATGTATGATCAGAATACAATTGTACAAATAAATAGCTATTCAAGAAACTATTTTAGGAAACTATCCTAGGAAATAAATAGCTGATTGACAACTATATACATAGCTATTCTAGGAAACTAAATCAAATCATAATCAATCCTAATAACTCTATTTTTGGTACAATCTCCACTAATTCGGATGAATATCTAACAACAGGGTGACTTGTATTGAAAGGGAAAAAGAGGACAATTTCTTTAAGCGATGTTTACTTCAGCAGATTAACGACGATTAAAGGAATGACAAACACTGGTAAGAGTTACTTATTAGCAAGAAGATAAGAAGTAACGACGATTAAAGGAATGACAAACACTGGTAGGAGTTACTTATTAGCAAGAAGATAAGAAGTTACCTATAGATCCAGTCTGCGACAACCATACAGTAAAGCCTGCATATAGATGTCGCCATTTATCAGCCCTTCGAGCACTTCCATGCTGTCCTAGTGTTCCAACTACAGTCCGAACATGACTGCATGCAAAACAAAATAAATATATATGTTTTCGATAGCAAAAAGAATCCAAAAACAAACAAACAAACAATTAATTCAATATGAATTACCTACTTAAACTTTCTAATATAGCACTTTCTGCTTCTGCTACAGAATCAGAGCCTTCAGCAAGGACCCCTGAAATGGATTACGCCGGTTACGTTGATACGAACCCATGTCATATGAATGATCAGGATAGCAACGTTCAAAAGAAAATTATTCCTCAACAAAATTCACAGATATTAATATCAGAACATAGTGTATAATAATCATAATGCTAAAATAACATAGTCCGAATAAATTCATGTAGAACTGGAGGAGTTACACGTTCAATTATGCGCATGTCATTAGGCCCTGAATTAAAGAAGGCAAAAGGTCATCATTGATGATTTTTTTAGTGGAATAGAATATATTCTCACATGAATCAATGGTTTGCTTGGCAAAATTTTCCAGCAACTCTTTTGTACTTAATGGTGTATACCTGAAAACCAAAGCTACCATTAGAACCTTTCAGAAGAGATAATTAAGAAAGAGACAAATATTGAAAGCTTGAAAAAGGAAAAAGAACCAGATTCTAGTCCAAAAAGTGGAATGAGCAAATACAGCAAAATTTCGAGGCTAAAGGTGACACTATTCTTCTCTACTTTCTTAGGATAAATATGAGTGTAAATAACTACAGTGCTAACCATGTAGATTCACCAACTAGAACGAATTGTTATGGATAACAGAGAAGGATTACTGCCATGAACGATTAACTGAGAAGCATAGCACCATATTTCCTATTGATGTACCATAGGTGATAATCTTATTTCCAAAAGGAAAGAGAAGCTAGAGCAATTACCCGATACCAACTGCGAGTTCCCGAGCCACCTTCTGGTTGATTTCTGTCGACTCCCCAATAATGTAGATTGAAGTGCCTTTCAGAAGTTGTGAAGATCCCACTCTAAGGGAATCCCAAGACTCCATAATGTCAGGCCATTTCAAATATGGATCCTGCTTCTTCAAGTTTACAACCAGTTGACCATCATCTATAAACCTGTTCAAGAAAGAGAAAACTATTATGCAAGTCAAGACCCGGAGCATTTTTTGTATTCAATGCATCATGTTTTCACAAACCATATTGTTTCTGCAGGCTTTACTCTGTCAAACAGACAATTAGTGTCAATAAGCGTTATGAGAGACCCAGAATGCTGTACTTCGATCGTTAAAGAGGTTTCATTTGCATCCACAAAGATATCTTTTGAACTTCGAATATCCCGACCCCCTAGTTGAAGCCTCAGTTCCACCTCCGAAGAGCCATCGTAAAACTGCATTTTCCTTTCACATTCTTGGTATGAGCAAAACATAACTTAACTGGTCAAGAAATAGGACACATAAATGATCTCTAAACTAGATTCATACTTTTGCTAGGATTAATACATCCTAAAGTTGTTTTATTAAGAGCTATTTATTTTTTTATATCCTGCATTTCAACTTTACAAAAAATGTAAATCAGGCATTTTGGATGTTCTCAACATTGTATCTTTGAATTTTAATCTCATATCAAATCTATACCTTGGCCGCTTAAATGACAACGCTAATCAATAAACATTATCAACTTTTTCACTCTATACATCACAACTAGCAACCTTGTCAACATTTTAGATGTAAAATCAACATTTAACTAAGACGGGGTATATATAGATTTAATATGAAATTGAGATCTAAAGGCACAGTGTATTGCAAATAAGACCTAGTCAATCTATTGCAAGTACACAACAAGGTTCTTTCATTCCCCAAAGAACTAGGACTTGATTTAAAAAATAAAAAATAAATAAAAATAAAAAACAGTTATTTCATCAGTATAATCTGTGTTGCTCCAAAACAGAGTCTTTTCAGATATAGAATCTCATTTTTTTCCCTCCACGTTAATTTCCTAACAAACTAAACACGCAAAAAGAAGGGGAAAAAAAACAAAAACTCTTTGACTACTTTTGCTCTGATTCGGTTATTCTGTGAAATTTTCTAGGAAATTTTCTAGGCAACCAAACAGAGTACGAACCTCGTAGTCGCCGGCGGAAAATGGGGATTTTGTGGAGAGAGTGTGGGCGGAGAGGCGAGAGGAGGAGTTGTTGAAAATGGAGGCGTAGTTGCCGGCGAATGAGAGAGAGAGGTTTGTTGTAGAGGTGGCTATTGAGGAAGGAAAGAGCTTCCGAGGCCATGGCCATGGGTTTTTAAGCTTTGGAGATGTGTTTGGGTTGTGGGAAAACAAGGTGAGAGAAGTGGAAGTGGCGGTTGTTGTTATGGCCATTTTTTAGTGTGTGTTGGGATTTGGATAGGAGGGCCGTTATACGTTCATCTGTCTCTCTCTCTCGTTCTTTTTTCCTTCAAAACAAAAAACAAAAAAAAAATCTCTCTTTTGTTTTCTTTTTTTTTTAATGAAATTCATCTATTTATGTTACATAAATTCATCTATTCGTTATACGTTCATCTGTCTCTCTCTCTCTCGTTCTTTTTTCCTTCAAAACAAAAAACAAAAAAAAAATCTCTCTTTTGTTTTCTTTTTTTTTTTAATGAAATTCATCTATTTATGTTACATAAATTCATCTATTTATATGACACATTACATATACATATACATATATAATCTATCTAGCAGAGAGAGAAAAAAATCATTCAGAAATTACCAAAAGATTCGGAGATAATTTCGTAGAGAGTTTCACTTTCTCCGGTGTTCTCTTCTTTTAGAAACACTAACGTTTTTTATTTTTTCAGTTGTTAGATCTGATTAAAATTAGATTAGTTTAAAAAAGTATGCAGAATATATAAATTTTAATATAAATCTAACGGCTGAAAAAGCAACAAATACCGGTATTCTTGAAATGAGAGAACGCCAAAGAAAGTCCTAATTTTATATTAAGTATGGTATATGGATATAATTATATATCTCAATTATTTAATGGAGAATTTGTTATAATTTATTTATAAAGTGGGGGCACAATTATAAATCTAATATTATATATGAGTGTACATATATGTGAGTGAGATTTTTTAATAGGTATTTTTGATTTTTTATGATTACAGATACTTTTATTTTCGTTTAATGTTTAGTCTATGTGAAAATGGTGAATTATTCAATTTGAGCCAGGATACCCAACTTTAAAAAAAAAAAAAACTAAAATTATTTAAAATGGTGAAAAATATTATTTATATCACCTCACTAAAAAATAAATAATTATTATTTAATTAATAAAGATAAAATAAAAAATATTTTATGATGACACTTAATTATTTAAAATTATATAAATAATAAGTACGTGCAGCATGATATATCATGTACTTTTCCCTTTTTATTTTTATTTTTCAATTTGGCCCACATGGGCCCTTCCGAGCAGGATAGTTCCAATTGACACTTCTAGAATTACATATGAAGGAAAGAGCTTAGAAAGCACGAGTGTTTAGCTCTGACAACCAACATATCAGACTTTGATGCTTAGTGTGATGGATAAAATATCTTATTAATCTTTATGTTTTTGTGCAGTTGCTTGCAGTAGGCGGCCACAGAAATGCTATAGATATATAAGTTTGTTCATTCATCACACGCTACAAAAAACATTAAATATTTGAGCCATGATTGCCAAAAAATAATATTATGATATCCATGTTATATAAGCTTTTTTTGGCTCTTTTTTTTATCTACTTATTCGCCCATTTATTTGCTTACTTATCTATCTATATTTTTTGAGATTTCTCATCATTTAGTGCCTCATATTCTTATATTCATGTTTCGTTAGTGTTTTTTAGTTTTTTTTGTGCCTATTTATTTATTTATTCACTTATTTATTTATTTGTATTTCTTTAAATTCGGTGTCATTTAATGCTTCGTGTCTTTATTATTATGCCCTTTACTGTCGTTCACACTTGCTTGATCGATGTTTCACGCTTCATACCTAAAACATAGGGGGCGTTTGGTATGCGGGAATCAGTAGGAATCATATTTCTAAGAAAGTGATGGAAGGTAATATGATTCTTATGAATAATACATTACTGTGTTTGGTTCCATACAGGAATCTTTTTTCAAATTCCCAAGAATATTACATTACTGTAACTAAAAATATTTAAAATGATAAAAAATATTATTTATATCACTTCACTAAAAAATAAATAATTATTATTTAATTAATAAAAATAAAATAAAAAATATTTTATGATGACACTTAATTATTTAAAATTATATAAATAATAAGTACGTGCAGCATGATATATCATGTACTTTTCCCTTTTTATTTTTATTTTTCAATTTGGCCCACATGGGCCCTTCCGAGCAGGATAGTTCCAATTGACACTTCTAGAATTACATATGAAGGAAAGAGCTTAGAAACCACGAGTGTTTAGCTCTGACAACCAACATATCAGACTTTGATGCTTAGTGTGATGGAGAAAATATCTTATTAATCTTCATGTTTTTGTGTAGTTGCTTGCAGTAGGCGGCCACAAAAATGCTATAGATATATAAGTTTATTCATTCATCACACGCTGCAAAAAACATTAAATATTTGAGCCATGATTGCCAAAAAATAATATTATGATATCCATGTTATATAAGCTTTTTTTGGCTCTTTTTTTTATCTACTTATTCGCCCATTTATTTGCTTACTTATCTATCTATATTTTTTTGAGATTTCTCATCATTTAGTGCCTCATATTCTTATATTCATGTTTCGTTAGTGTTTTTTAGTTTTTTTTTTGTGCCTATTTATTTATTTATTTGCTTATTTATTTGTTTGTATTTCTTTAAATTCTGTGCCATTTAATGCTTCGTGTCTTTATTATTATGCCATTTACTGTCGTTCACACTTGCTTGATCGATGTTTCACGCTTCATACCTAAGACATAGGGGGCGTTTGGTATGCGGGAATCAGTAGGAATCATATTTTCAAAAAAGTGATGGAAAGTAATATGATTCTTAGGAATAATACATTACTGTGTTTAGTTCCATACAGGAATCTTTTTTCAAATTCCCAAGAATATTACATTACTGTGTTTGGTTGTTCGCATGGAAGATCCATAATAATAATAATAATAATACTATTAATTAAAAAATAATAATATTATTATTATTATTAAAAATAATAATAATAAATAATAATAATAAATAA